CACCAGCTCAAGTTCCACCAGCTCAAGTTCCACTAGTTCAAGTTCCAGCCGTTCAACTTCCAGCACTTCAAGTTCCAGCACAAGCACAGGCACATCGACTACAACGAGCAGGAGCACTTCCAGCTCCATAACAGTAACGTCTACACTTACCACTGCCACAAGCACCAGCAGTACAACAGGCAGCGCATCCACGACATCCAGCACCATGACAAGAGGCAGCACGACAACTAGCAGCGTAAGCACCAGCTCTACGACTGGCAGCTCGTCCACACCCACCAGTGTGACAAGCTCCAGTTCTACAGCGAGGAGCTATTCCTCAACTGCAACGGTTTCTACGAGCATAAGCTCTACGAGGTCCACCCAGAGTTCGGACACCAGCACCAGCTGGACGAACAGCCAAAGATCAACTTCTACAGGTGAGGTGGGTGAACAAATCATCTAACCCAAGGGTTGAAGTGTTCACAATACCCAGACGACATCACAGTGCATATGAGAGACGGAACCAGCCTAATAGGCGTTGGATCGTGTTTCGATTGGTGTGAGGGAAACGGAAAGAGAAAGTTGCGTCTACAGTCTATAGTTCATTTATATAAACAGGTTCACTGTTTTGATGATAGGAGATTGTTTCTTCGCACCATCAAAAAGAAGAAACAAAATGAAACAAAAATAAATACACACAGGCATAAAATTGACTGGCCAGGCCAGTCTTCCTCAGAGCCGAGGTGTCAATCTCACAACTTCCAGCACCAGCAGCATCGGAGGTGCCATCATTGCGAGCGAAAGTGTGCTAGACTTTGAAGCGGGTCAGAAAAGCTTGGCTCAGAGAGTGCCTCGCTTGAAGTCAGTTGGGGACAAAACTTGCATGCGAGACGGGATACAAGAACTCATCCGACCTCATCCTTGAACTCATCCACTTTCCTGACTGCCCGATGTGATCTCCTTGCTTTGGCTGCAAAGCCATAGCGGCTTGGGGTGAGCGAGAACATACAATCGCATAGTATCATACCTTTGGAGGATGGGGGAATTTGGGGAGATGTTGGCTTAGCTTTGGGTTCACCGGTTCACCGGTTCACCAAGATTTGCATGTTCTTTTTGACTCCCCCAGGGGGCAGCTTTTATATGATGCGTTCCCTCACCCTCGCCGGGACCTGCCTGCGGCCGATTTGACGACCGCATGGCACTGGAGACGGTGGGCTTGATTTCAGGGGCCGAAGTCGACAGAGGATTGCACACTCCGAATACATCGCATGGAAGCGGAACATCAATGAACAGTGCCGTTTCTCTCCCTTGAAAGTCATCTTTCAAGGGAGCACTTTCCAGTTCCATGTGAGTGAGTCGGAGTGTACATACGCATTGGGTTCGACTAGTCACTAGTCCCAGCGCTCGGATCCTGCGAGATGACTCTGTATGACTCTGTATTGTAGCGCTACTCATAGCCGTGGATGTTGCTCGTGCTACTGCAGCAGCCCTGGCTGAGGTCTTGGAAGACTTGGAGTCCTCCGGGCGTGACGTGTCGATCCAAACTGAAGAGCTGGACGGCACGGCGGTGCTTGCAGTGGCCATGCAGGTGTCAGAGAACACCACCGACGCCGGGGCAGATGGATGGATTGGTCAGGGGGTCAGGCGTGGAGGAACAAGGAGGCTCGTTTTGATCAGGTTGTATGAAGTGTTCTGCCTCCCTACACCTGTGATAGCAACGTCTTTTACACACTATTGCACTCCCCTGCGACGAAGTAGCCTCCACCACTTAGTTTTTGGTGGCCGGCACTGGGCCCTGGTCATTCTTTGATATTCATTGGATGCTTCTTGCTGGTTGATTTCCAAAAGGGCATCCGCACTTGGCGTTCTACGCCTTGCTTGTTGGATGGTTTGGTTAAGTGAAGTACTGTATTGTGAGTACAGCTGGTGCCAGGTGCACTTGGCAGATAGATCCGCACTGGTCGCACTAATCCGCACCTTGAATGTCAGCGGTCAGGGATTGAGCCTTTCGTAGGCATAATAACTACAGTATTGTTAGTGCAGTATTTATACACCCCACTCGAGGCAGTGCCACTGTTAATTGGTTATGACTCCACCCACGTATCCGCAACCGAGGAGGAGGAAGGTTTGGTAAGTGGGAGAGTGAGAGTGTGAGGGAGTGTGACAGTGGTTTCTCTTCAGAATCTAATGAAACAACATGAAACAATGTTTCCTTCCCAATGGGGTTTCTACCCCGAACTAACTTAAAATACTATACATGTACTTCGGCGTGGAAACTCCTCGGCCGGAATTCCAGTGGGGTTCAAAGAGAAATGGGTTGCAGGTCATGTCTTTATACAAGCTTGTAACCAACTGTTGTTTTGTTTGTGTGTGAGTACTTTCATCCATTCACATCAGCAGTGACCCATTGAAATTCAATGAAATTCAACTCTACACAACCTACCTTGTAATTCAACTTGAGAAGCTAAAGTGCAACGTTTGTTCTTGTAGTCACTGCAGCTCCAGATTGACCACTCAGATCAAACTCGGGACGGGACTCTCTGGATGTATTCATCACCCAGGGACCCTTTCTTTGGGCCCGGAGTCCACCCATCGCCCCTCGCCCGCCCAGGACGAGCCAGCGGTCTTCTCGCTCGACGGCGTCACAGTGGCGGTGCAGCTCTCCAGTCTGGCGCCTCAGCTGGGCGGAGCGGCCTCCTGGACGGTGGCACGGCTGGGCGAAGCCTCCAAGACCGTGCTGGCGCTGCAGGCGATCGACACAGAGGTGGGGGAAGAAGCATGAGTTGGATGAGAGGTGGGTTTCTTGAAGTGTTTGATTCACGGCCACCGTCTCGGCGCAAAGGGACTCATTTGGATCGGACCCCCATCGGGATGAACACGGCCACCGTCTCGGCGCAAAGGGACTCATTTGGATCGGACCCCCATCGGGATGTAAACGAATCGTATTGGTTCTGGGTCTGTGGGCTTGCGCAGTGCAGACAGATCAGAAGTTGGTCCATGTTGTTCTTGAGACGTGTGTGGTGCACATGCTAGGCTAGCAGGCACGGACCCTCTGATAGCATGGCAAAGGCAAGGGGTGCAGACATGCGTTTTGTTGAAGTTGTTCTCCACCCCAGTGCGGTCGAGAATTCAATACCTGCCACTAGTCATCAGCGACCAGGTGCAGCTCGCTGATCGGCCTGTCAGTATTGTGCTTTTGACGGCCAACGGCAGCGAATGGTCGGGGACTTTGGCGGAACCTTTGGAGATTTCAATTCCAGTGACTTGGCACCGGGAAAAGACCTCCCTCCACCCGGGTATACTGGGAGGTCTTGCAAAACGGGAGGTCCATGCTCTTAAGGTTTAACCGCGCCAGCTCTGCTCCGTGTGTTCGCATGCGGCATAGATGACAAGATACTTCGGTGGTTCGCGGCCGGGTTTTGTTTGAAGAACGGATTTGTCCGACCTCTCCGCAAAGAAATGTTGAACGCCGCTAAAGAATGCTAAAGATTCATTTTGGTGAATCATTTGCCATTGTGGGCCAACTTGTTTGTGCATGTATTTCGCCTTCATTGGTGCTGCTTCATGATCCTGAGTCACTAATGCAGCTGCAAGGGAAGCATCGGAAACATTGTTGGTCTTGATGTTCTCAGACCCAGTTCGATGCTCAAACCTGAAATGGTGCCACTTGGCAATGGGTCTTTGCACCAGTAGTTGCAGCTGAAAGAATTCGCCCGCGCATGAATGCGCACGAGTTTTTCTCTCGCGCTGACACCGTGTTTTCCCCCAGGTGAACCTCACGGAGCTTCGAGAAGATCAAGTTGGCGAGTGTCTCGGTGACGGAGTTGGGCCGTGAAAAAAGCCTCGCTCTCCACGTCTCGTGCAGGGCGAGTCGTCCAGTTCTCCGCTTTCCTATCCGGACGGTGGTCGGTCGCGGTGGTCGCCTCTCCTTCACCACGGTGGTCGCCGTCGGGTGTTCTGCAGCCATCCGAACGGCGGCGCCCCACACGGCTGCGGGCGGCTGGCACGGCTGCTATGGCTGGCACGGCGCCAGAGCGGCTTGAAATTAAAAGGAAAACAAGCAGATACCTTGTCCTCCGAAGTGGGGCCCTAGCAAGCACAGGCCACCAAGCGCGCCTGCCGGACCTGAACACTGAACGCCGCACGCAGGGGCGCGCAGTGACAGCATATTACGCAAGCTGGGCATAGCCTGAGACCTTAAAGAAAACAGCCATAAGATGAGCAAGAGCACAGCAATTTAGTCATGTTCCGTGACTCCATGGACATCCCTGAGGCCTTTCCACTCACATGCAAGCAAGATAATCAAAACGTCAAGGAAACACATGGCGCTAAGTTGACGAGGCAACGGGCAACCACAACAGAACACTGGCTTGTCTACTGACCTCCAGCAAGGGAAAGGTTCTCAGGCACACTTGATTATTCCCCAGGGGCTAGTGGCCATCCCTAGGTGCTGAACAAAGAACATCGCGGCCCCATGCAGTGCAAAACTAAGGAATGATAACCTGGCACATCGCTAGACTTGTTCAGCTTACACTGTCGGACCATTTCACACAATGCGTACTCGAACTTCAAATTCACCAGCTTTCAAGAAGGTCCCAGCCGGTGAGCTCCACACCCTTACAGCTGACGAGTACGGAAAAGACCCAGCTGATGCACCAGCTGCATCACTGGCCTATACCGTAAGAGGCGGGATGCCATCGTGGTGCGCTATCATGTGCTTCCTCTCACTGGACTTCAATTGAGTTGAATCCGTACTTTGTTTTCGGGAAGGAGCGACGTCCAGCGACACGCTCCGCCCGAGTCGAGAGAGGCGTGGTTCCTGTTTGGTCTGGTGCCTTGGGAGAACCGATGTTTGGGCGATCCATCCGCAGGTGATCGAACCATGTTTGGGTAGAAACGGGGCGAGAAAGAAGATCAATTTCTATCAACTGGTTGACCAAGAAGACGAACTTGAGTCGAAATGGTTCTCTGCAGGCATAAATGTACATGTTGCATGCACTCCGCAGCCCTCATTTTGAGGTCAAGAAAAGGGGCGCCATCCGTTGCATGGTAGCGGAGCCCGCCCAGGGCTCCTGCTCCTGACCCCCTGTGAAACCGGTGTAAGTCCCGAGTGGCGTCGGTGTGGGTGGCTCCCTGTAAATCCACGGGAAACTCTGTGGTGTGGGCACGGCATAGATCCCCCATTGGGGGTGGCAAGCAGCGCTCATGTCGCATGCGCCGGTGACTCCACCTCAGGCCTTCGAGCTAGCTGCTGCCGCTGCTGAGGGCTTCGAGTCACCGACCTCGCAGGCACATCCTCTCCTACCTCAACAAGCTCCTGGTCCGGACACCAAGGCCATTGGCAAGCTCAGAGCCTTTAGTGGGAAAGATGAAGATTGGCCGGCATGGGTGTTCGTGGCCCGGGGCTATGTGCATTTGCTGGATCGTGCGTACAGAATCATACAGAGGCATGCTTGAGGCCGCCGAGAACGCTGCAAGCCAGAACGGGCTGTCCATGATCGACATGAGTGACACAGCCCAGGAATTGTCGACAGTGCTCTTCAATTTGCTCACCCAGAGCGTCGACGGCAGAGCTCTCCAGATCTTGATGAATGTGGAGGGCCAGAACGGGTTCCAAGCCTGGAAGGCCCTATGTGATGCCTACGAGCCGCAAGTGGGAGGACGCCATATGGCTATGCTCACGGCCATCATTGCGCCCGACTGGAAGAACATCAAGGAGTCTGAGATCTTGGAGACGATCGAATCTTGAATTGCTGGTGAGGCTATGAGATGCAGTCGAAGAGAGTATCAGAATCTATGCGGGTTGCAGTGCTGATGAAGCACACCCCAAGCCCAGTGAAGGATGCCATGAGAGCCGCTGGAACGCAGATTGGCACGAACTATGAGAAAGCCAAGAAGTTCATTCGGGACTACTTGCAGACTGGCAACATCCACAAGTCCGGTGGAGCGCTGGCCAAGGACGATGGAGGAGTAGCACCCATGGACGTGGGAGCTGTGAGCCATGGTGACAAGATGTGACAAGGGCAAGAAAGGAAAGTCCAGCAAAAGAGACAAAGGAGTCAACAAAGGTGGGAAGTTCGACAAGCAAGGCAAAGGCAAAGCACCTATCACGAAGAAGTTCAACGGTGAATGCTCGTATTGTGGCAAATGGGGCCACAAGAAAGCTGATTGCCGCACCCTGGTTCGAGATCGAGCACGACGAGATGCAGACAAGGGCAAAGGCAAAGGAAGCACAAATGCTGTGCAGAGAGCTTCAAGTGGGTCAGCTGCACCACCATCGCCACAGGGGGAGCACCAATGCTGTCTACTACTGGATTGACCCGGACAATGACGAGAGGAAGCCATGGGCTGACACCTTCGACATCGAGGATGAGTACAGTGATGAGATGTGGGTGATGATGATCACAAGGCCAACAAGCAGGTGAGTGAATGGCACCACATGAACCTCTCCCAGCCTAGCAGCACCTCCGCGAAGTACCTCCCAAAGCAGTGATGAACACCTCTGCCAACCATCATTCGGAGGAGACCGGCACACCGAAGAGTGCCGAGCTGAGCTGCTAGGGATTTCTGGGAAGAGCTTGGGCAAGCTTGGGAAGAAGCGTGTGAGCTACAAGATTGTGGGCGAAGACGGCAACTTCCTGAACGCCATCACGGAGTTCAAGGTGAGTCAGCAAGCCAGCAAGGACGTGCTATCAGCTGGCAAGATGAGCAAAAGTGGCTTCGTTGCCGACATGAGGAACAAGTTCAAACCGTACCTCATCCACCCGGACATCTCTTTCAGGATTCCTCTCTACATCCACAGGAACTCCTACTACATCAAGATGGTGGATGACGAGGCCGTGCCGTATGACATGAAGGTGGACGCCACAGTGGCTCCAGTGGTGAAGCAAGGTGACCAGTATGACTGGGAGTTCGCTGGTGTGGACGAAGATGAAGAAGGGATTGAGATGATCCCAATGCCAGAAGAGTTTGCTCGTGATGAAGCCCATGCTCGTGCAGATCGCCAGAAGCTACATGGGTGGAGCAAGGTGGCAGATCTTCGCGCAAGACTCAAGGAGTTGGACGAGCCCATCTATGGCGACAAGCACACCTTGTGGACAAGGCTGAAGAAAGCTGAAGCTGCATTGAATGCACGAAGGGCATCCGCCCGTGACTATGTGGAGAAGCACAGTGAAAGGCAGCAAGCCTTGCGAGAAGGGCGAGGAGCTGAAGTACAAGAGCTTCCAAAGCCTGAGATCCCCACTGACGAGGAGATGAGGCAGCATGCTTTGACACATCTACCACCACAACCCTGGTGTGAATTCTGCACCCGAGGCCATGGAGTTGAGATTGCTCACAAGAGGAGAACTTTGGAGCAGAAGCTGTCAGACAACCACTTCGAGCTCGACTACAGCTTCCTGAAGACTGACACCTCCCTGGCCGAGAAGTTTGAGGAGTGCAGTGACACAGTGCTGTCAGTTGTGGACACTGGCACTGGCAGTGGCCTGGCATTCAGCATCCCAGCGAAGAACCTTGGTATCCCCTACGTGGTGAAGGTCATCACTTCGTTCATTGCTCAGCTGGGATATGACACAGTGAAGCTGAGGTCAGACAATGAGCCAGCCATCAAGAAGGTGAAGGGCCGGATTGCGGAAGCCCTGAGGAAGGGTGAAGCACCTGGAGCAGCTGGATTGAATCTTCGAAGAGGTCCCAAGATACAGTTCGCAGAGTTTGGGATCGATGGGAGCATTCCAGAAGTTGCTACGTGGAGATGTCCTCACTCTGAGGTATGCAGTTGAAGCGGAGTATGGCATGACATTGCATACATCCCACAACCTATGGCCCTGGTTGGTGCGCTACTGCTCATTCATCAGATGCCGCTATGCGGTGAAGTCAAACCAGCGCACAGCCTACCAGGACGCCTTCGATTGCCAGTACACGTCACCTCTCATCCCGTTTGCCGAGACGGTCCTCTTCAAGACCCCCATGAGTAAGGCCAGAAGGGCGCATGGGAGAAATGTTGATCACCAAAGGTGAGACGGCATGGGCGAAAGGAATCTAGCTCGGAAGGAGTGTGACCAGCATTGGCACGCCTGATGGTACAGTGTCAGCCAGAACAGTGAGGAGATTTGCTGACGGCGCTAAGGCCCATGACCGGACCTGATGGAGGCCATGATTGGGGTGCCTTGGGACCAAGGAACCACCATTGGAGGACGTCCCAAGAGGAAGATCGAGGCGATCATGCCCACGACCCCAAGTGCAGTTCCTGCAGAAGTTGAGACGGATGAGAAGAAGGCCAAGACCAAGACCTTTGAGGAAGAGCCGACAGAGCCAACACTCAATCAAGGCGGGCCATCGTCCGGCAGTGGACGAAATGACCAACCACTCCTCATCAGCGAGAAGCCTGCCAGTGCGGAGCCCTCTCAGGAGGCGATGGAGACCGAACAGGTCATTGACAAGTCCCCCATGGAGATCAAGGTTTCTGCAAGACGTGCCTGGCCTGGTGGAGAAGATGGAAACCCAGAGAAGAGAGCACGCGTGGGTGGAGTATATGTTGGAGCATTGTACTCGCCAACCGAGGATGTGATCGTCTGTGAGGAGGATGTGGAAATGGCAGCGGTGGACTCCGAGGACGAGGAGAGCAAACCTTTGACTGCAGAGGAACGCGCACAAGGCCGAGAGGTTGAATATGGCAAGATGGACAAGTACGACACCTATGAGCCTGTGTCCTACCAGCCCGGCATGAAAGTGCTAGACGCCACCTGGGTGGAGGTGCGGAAGCCAGACGGAGCAGTCCGCAGATACTGTGTCCGCGAGTTCAAGCGAGGCGATCCCAGGACAGACGTGTTTGCTGTAGCCTCCAGTACATCGACTTCAAGGGTGGTGGACATCATTGGCATCAAGATGGGCTATGCATTCCTGACCGCAGATGCTGAGAACGCCTTTTGGCAAGTGCCCATCAAGGAAGACGCCTACATGCTCCCTCCAAAGGATTGGATCGAGAAGCAGATCGAGGCCGGTGTGACCCTTCCTGAGAAGGTGGTTTGGAAGTTGAAGAAAGAATGGTATGGGAGGAGGACTGCTGGACAATGCTTCGCTGAGTGGGCAGCAGGGCATCTCAAGGATTTGGGGTTCAGCAGGAATCCAGCTGCAACTCCAGCAAGGGCATCCTCATGGAAGTTCACACGGATGACTTCTTCACCACCGGACCTCAGAGATCGTTGGAAGAGCTGGAGAAAGAGCTTCACAAAAGGATCCGGATGAAGAGCCAGATTCATCCGATGATTGAGGGAGAGAAGTTCACGCACCTGAAGCGCACAAGGGAGATCTTCAGCAATGGAATCTTCATTAGCCCAAGGTCCAAGTACATCACCGACCTGCTGAAGATGTTGAAGCTTGAGAATTGCAACCCGGCACCTACTCCCTATGTTCACAGTGATGTGAAGGAAGGTGGAAAGCTCAGCGATAGCAACACGAAGCTGTTCAGAGCTGGAGTTGGCGTTGCATTGTATTTGGGCTACGGCCGGACAGACATCCAGTTTGCCATCCGGGAGCTCACGAAGGATATGAAGGATCCCAACGATGGGAGTATGGCAAAGCTACACCGCCTAGCTCGATACCTGCAGGGCACCAAGGACTATGGCATCTGGCTGGAGCGAAGGGGGGACATCACCACTTTGGTTGTCCACCCCGACACTGACTGGGCGAACTGCAAGAAGACACGAAAGTCGTGCGCCTGTGCCATGTTCAGTGTTGGAGGTTGCCTGCTCTACAGCTACGCCCGGAGCCTGCAGATGTTGTGTTTGTCCTCAGGTGAGGCAGAGTTCAACGGAGGAGTTGCAGCCTGCGCTGAGGGACTGTTCCTGAAGGAGATCTTCATGTTTGCAGGACATCCCATCAAGATGGAGGTCTACCTGGATTCCAGCGCAGCCCGTGGAGTATTTCAACGGCAAGGTGTGGGCCAAATCCGCCATTTGGAGGTGAAAGGCCTCTGGGTTCAGGAGGCGTTGCAGCGAAAGCTATTCACGCTGCATGCAGTGCCAAGCAGTGACAACACAGCTGACTTCGGCACCAAAGCCTTGACGATTGAGCGATTCCACAAGTTGAGAGCCATGCTGAAGATTGGCAACTACGACGAGGTGATCCAGAAGGAGAAGGGCAATGTGAATGTGGTGAGTGCTGCTGGCCAGTTCAGCAAGAAGGCCATGATTGCTGCATTGATCATGATGCTGCAGCAAGCGGAAGGAGCAAGAGAAGCAGATGAGCCCAATACCGAGAATGGCACCCTCAGCCAGTGGATCTTTGTGGATTTGGCTGTTGCCTTTGGCTGGGTCCTCTTGATCCAAGCCATCATGTTGGCAGGCTTCCTCTGGCTGGTCGGCAAGATCAATGGGGGCTTGAGCATCCGGCCCGGGAAGACCACTGAGACAAAGGAAGTGGCAGTTCAGGCTGAATGGATGCCTGAGAGATGGAGCAAGGTTTTCCACCTGGAAGGCCGCGACATTTTCCATGTTGATTGCACGTGCCCAAGGTTGGCACAGAGGACAAGGAATTTTGATGTCCTCCGTTTGTGCAAAAGCTGCCCGCCAGAAGGGTACGCATGAAATGCCTGTGAAACACACACACCCCAGTGTATAGGTTTCAAGGGGGGTGCAGGCATATATGTACATGTTGTATGCACTCCGCAGCCCTCATTTTGAGGTCAAGAAAAGGGGCGCCATCCGTTGCATCCTCCCTGTTCTATGTTCTTCTCAACAAGAATTGAAGACACTCGTGACATGATCTTCTGAAACCACTCATGTATTATATATATATATAAGTCAGTGTATATGTCATATACTCGGATCCTTTGTCTTTTTCGCCCGTCCCAGGTGTGCCTTCTGGGACGTGGCTGCTGACCGCTGGTCCACGGAAGGTGTCCAGACCCTTGCGCTGCCCAATGCATCGGGCGGAGTGGCAAAGTGCGCCACCACGCATTTGTCGATGTTTGGCTTCCTGGTGAGGACAGTGACCATGGTTTTTGTATCTTGGACAAAACTAAACCTGTTTTTATTTGGCTGTTTGTCGAAGAAGATCGAAGAAGCCGCTGCACCTGTGAAGCTGGCCCTCCAACTTCTAATAGGTAAATGACCATTCATGAAAAGACTGCTCAATGGCCTATGGCTTGTTTGGTGAGATGCGCGCGCGGGGTGGAATTTGTCCAGGTCTCAGTCTTCCTTCATCTCAGGTGTGCTCTGCCGCTGCTACGATTTTCTCTTTGGAAGGCCTTGAGAAACCTGGGAAAGTTTGAGGAGATATTTCTGCCCAGATTCCGTTCCAGTTGAAAAATGCCAGGGAATCTCATAGTTGCTTTGTTTGCCAATTTGGTCCCTTCCCAAAAATCCTGCGGCCTATGTGCAACTTGGCTGTGCATATCCTAGGAATCTCCTCCGCGGTGGACGCTGGGCTGGATCCTTGCCAGCGCTGTTGCATTGGATTGTGCTGTTCTTGGCGGCCGTCTTGCTGTTCCAGCCACCTGGCAGCGCCCTGAGGTTCACCGCCCTGCGAAGGGTGGAGGCTCTGGGCACGTTGACCAAGTTGATGGATCCAGTTACCGATCATGCAGACTCAACGGATGAGTCTGAACAGACATGGATTGAACAGACATGCTTAGTCTTCATATGAGGGTTGAATTATCACCAAGAGTCTACACGATCGAAGAAATCATGAGAGATGTATAGTATATTGCTGTAGTATACTGTAGTTCTATTAGGTTCTAATAATTAATCAATAACAAATAAAGTATTATATATAGTATTTAGATATGATTACTGTATTAATATTTAACTGGTGCAGTCATACTGTAGGACCCTCAGGGATCCCAATGTCCGCATTTACCGCGTTGTTGGGCTTCGCCGTCGAACCCTGCCCGGCACCGCGTGGATGATGTCTGGATGTTTGGGGGGGCTGGCAAGAGCGAAAGAGAATAACATTGGAGAGACCAAAAGTATAGTTAGGAGTGCAAGGGGGAGGTCAGCAGTGAACATTGAATGCGCAAGCCTGGCAGAACGTAGAGAGACTTTCAAGTGACAATCTCCACCCAGACCTGGTTTCCGACTTTGACCAGTGTGTGTGGGGGGGGAGCTACTCAGTGGACGGCCAAAAATCACGAACACCAGGTCTTGGAGGTATGACAAGAAGCACGAGCGGTACTTAGCCGAGCTGAAACGTGCGGCAGAAGCCTGCAGTTTGCGAAAGAAGCAGATGCTGCGGAGACGCAGCAGTTCGCAGCAGCCCGGTGGTCCAAGGTGGTGTGGTGAGTCTGTGGGCCCCTTGTGACAGATGGCCCAGTGATTGTCCTATAGTATAGGCGATGATAGGATATGATAGGTGTCGCCCCGAATCGCGAGGTCAGAGTGGTTCAGAGCAAATGGCATGCATCCCAACTGGGGCTGGTCAATGGCCTGCATTTGGGTTCAGGTCTATGGCATTTTAACGAACTAAATGAGTGCACCGGCAGATTTGTTGTTCATAGGATGTTTGATTGGACACCTGCGCCACCTAGGCAACTCAAGCAATTGCTGCCAGAAGAGATGCGAGCTTTGAAGCTGCCAGAAGCTAGACGTTTCACCAAGCACATCTATTCGACGGTTGTTCGCCAGGAGACTGGCCAGACCCTTTCAGCCTTGGAAGGGCTCCACACCGTGGTGGGCGTGGTGGATGCGCATGAGAAAGCGCATGACTGTGTGCTCCGTTTCAGCCAGAGTAGCCTCATCCGCAAGGCACAAGTCCTTTACATGGCCAACAACGCTCCGGAACTGCAGTGGCGGGAGGGAGGGATACAACAGAACCGGTGACCCGCTGTATCCCGCTGTACATGTCAATCATGTCAAAACTGTGAGTGAGATACTTCAAGCTAATGTGAGCATTTTTGTAAAGTCCACGTGAAAGCCTGAAAGCTACCTCTTTGACGCTGTTCTTGGATTTGTTGAATGATTGGCGTTTCCTTGTCCATAATAATTCTAAGCCGTCTCCAACCTTCAACTCTCGTGTGGAAGACGATTCGTTGGCCTCTCGGAATCCATCCCTTAAATTTCACCTTTACATGCATTCAATTTAAGACTAATTAGTTGGCTTCCTCTACAAATCAGTGCCTTTCAAGGTCATGTGCTTTGCAGGGTGCGAACTGAAGTAGCTGGTTTCCGCATGTGGTGATGAATCATGTCCCGCGTTTGCGGGACATTCCTTGCTTCTTTGATCTTGCACAGTTCGAACAGAGGTACCCGCTATTTTTCAGCCGAAAGCTGGTCACATCGACATGGTCCTCCCACATCGAGAGCCAACTCACTCCCATTCCCGACCCAACCTCGCCTCGCTCTTCTCCCTCCCTTCCCTCTCTCCCTAACCGCCCTAACCGTCACTCGCTGTGAAACCTCGCGACCTCTCGACCTTCGACCGACTCGACCGACTCCGGAGCTTCTTCCAAGGCTTGGGCCAAATTCACGGAGCCCTCGCCAGCTCACTCCTGTGTGTTTCGCCTCTTGAAGCGAAGAGAGGACCGTCTCGGACCGTCTCGGAAATTTCTGCCTCCAGTCAATCCAATCCTGAGTGGAAAAAGGATCACCAAGAGGCTCGAAAAGCCATCTCAGTACCTTGTGAATGTTTCCAGCCTCATGAGGGAAGAAATGAAGAGCTCAACCAACAAAATTACCCAAACTCGTATGTTCAGGCTCGCAACATTTTTGGAAGGTTAAAGCCGTCTCAGCCACACAAAGCTGGCCCGGTAGAAGACAGCTGCACCGGCCACCAACACAAGAAAGCAGATCTTTGACTCAGAAGAACTACGCCCAGCCGGAACGCCCCAGGCTGCTTGTTGCATTTTGCTTTGATCTACAGCAAGTGGGCAGTCGCAGCCGTGTTCTTCAACTCCACGGCATTGGCTCCGGACCCCAACTGCGAGGTCTTTGAGAATCTGGCGGAGGCCTTGATCCGATCTGTGGTGGTGCCCTGGCGGAGTCGTGGCGGTCGTGACCGTTGTGGGTGCGTTTGGGTGGATGAGTCGTTGCGGTGCCGAGTCGTTGCGGGTGCCGAAACCTGAACATTCTACCAGGGCCAGCACAACATCAAAGACCTTTTTTTTGCGCTAGCACAAAGAGAAAACATGTTTTTGGTATGTGATTGGTATGATATTGCACGTGAAAACCTCAATGTTTCATGGGCTTGAGGGCCACTGGTAGTCCGTGAGACGATGTGAGACGCGCGGGTCACTGGTTGATGTGAGGTCTCAAGCTTCTCCACACTGCTGGGTGTCATCCCCTTTGTGCTGCTGCTGGCATCTGGGCTGAGCCGTACTGAATGGATCAAACACCGAAACTGTTGGTCACCCGTTGACCGAAGACCAGGCACTCCAGTAGTCCAACGTTATTTTTTCTTTCTGGCAAGGACACACTTGTGATCACCTCGAGGGATCTGGGCAAAAGAGGACAGGACGAAACAGCACTTGTTACCTTTTGGTTGTAGGCACCATGCTGGAGGTGTCTAGGAAACATCCACACGTTTGCGCTATGGATTTATCTTGCCCAACCTGCTGGCTTGTCCGTTGCAACCCGTTGTTGATTCGCAAGGCGAGGCTGGACCATGTACCTTGTCGTAGCCCTGAGCTTCGCATGCTTGCTTTGGACAAAGCATCCACTCCCTCGAACCACTACAATGACCAAATAGAACCTTCATCGGGGGGGGTCAACTGCCAAGATAGCGACTGGGATGTTGTTCAAGAGCGAGAGAGAGAGAGAGAGACAAGATTCTTTTTGCTTGAAGCGTAAGGGTCGTGTTCCGTTTGGACATGTTTGGACCCTCATCATTCTCACCAGCTCGCATGTTCTTGGTTGCCCACAACTCGTGTGAAGCTCGTTTTTCAGCACTGCACTCACCCACTTTGAGCACTCAGTGAAGCGTTCTCAGGGACTCCCTACTTCACAACAAGGGACTCACTCTCCCCATCTTGGGGGCTCTCCTCGTTCGTCCCGCGGCCCACTTGGAGTTCGTCCGCAGCTTCAAGGTACTCAACCAGTGCCCCAAAGGCTGTGGCCGTGCAGTGAATTTGATGAGCATCTCGCAAGACAAGAGGAGGGTAGACAGTGCCTCACCAAGAAAAAGAATAGATAGGTCCAAGTGGACCGGTCCAGTCCAACAGACTTGCTCAAAGTTCCCAATGCAATAGGCTTTTTGGACAATTAAACGTTCTGCTTTTTGGGGGGTCGCTCATTGGTACTGGAGGCCATGAAACTGGCTGGATCCTTAAGCCAAGTCCATGTTGACCGTTTCAATGATCTCAGAAACTAAAGATGCATATCGCTGGCCTCGAAGGGGGCGATGAGAGAATAGCCTCGGGATCAAACGGCTCCATGGCCTAGTTACTAGTTGGCTTTTTAGAGAATGTTCGGTATAATCATTCTATAGTAAGTTGCCAGCACTTAGAATATGGACTAATTCAAGTAATTGCTCCCAGCAGATTCTAACTGCTGACAACTTACGTTCTGTCGAGATCTGAGGTTTTGGGTACGTAGGGCTCTATTCTTTCACTTGCATCATGGTGGTGAGCATCTTCCTGGCTTCAGTGACGCAGACGGATGCCTGGATCAGGGCTAAGCGATCGAGACACAATAAGTAGAGAGGTAGAGTAGGGGGGCACGCCATCTACTTAATAGAGATTGTGTGGCGTGCCTTTGCGTGCCTCTCTACTCCTACCTTAATTAAGTAGGTAGTCTCAAGGTAGTCTCATGCATCAACCGGGGATGGAAAAGAGGATCTGTCACTTCGACCAAGAGGTATACTTTGTTTTCGTTTTTGTAGACCATCCAACGAAGACATCGAAGTGAAAAAGTCCCACCTGTTCGTAAAAAGGATGTATAGGATTCCAAGGGGCCATTTTCCACTTCCTTACTAGTGAGTCAGAGCGTCATGTCATCCTCAGTTCTGATCAGACTGAGGATGCTGCAAAGTGGCTCATGACCGGGTTGGTGGGCTTTTGCTCCTCCTTGCTCCTGATGCCCGTCTTGTTGATGCTCATCGGCCTCCTCCTGTTACACCTCCATCAACCAGATCCTGATGACTTGTGCACCTGGCGTCGCTCTGTGGGCCCCCTTTGGCCCATCATCTCCATCAGCTTCGCTGAAGAACGACTCCGCGTGCCACACCTCCTGGTGTCCTGCGTCCCTGAGGGCGGCACTGCCATACCCCTGGAGTCGAGGGACGCCACGTCCGCGACGACAGACTTCGCCGTTGACTCCACCCGTCCCCTGTTTCTGCAGCCGAAGCAGCGGCTGCGGATCACGGTGCTCTGCGAGATCGAGGGCGAAGCGGTGGAGCTCGGGTTTGCCTGGTTGGAGTCCAAGGAGCGGTGGTGCATTGGGACCAGGTGGTGCATTGGGACCAAGGCAACCCCACCGGACGCAGCTTGCTTTGTTGTGAGGGGCGAGATGGGTTTTCCCAAGTCGATGTGGTGACCATGGATTCATAGATTTCATAGTGATTAAGTTGTTTGTTGATTTCTTCGATTCCTTGGGTTTGAAGGAATACTCAGTGATACTCAGTGGTTGCTTTCTTCGACCTCTCCAAAGAGCTGGGTCAAGTTGGTAAAGCCAAGAAGGGCGCGGAGACCATCCAAGCATGGGTTATCTCATGTCACTTGCATAATGCCAAAATGTTAAAGCACATATTTGTTTCAATCTCCGAATTTGACACCTTTCTTTCCCTCCACCTGCTCAATTTGCTAAATTGCTGCGATACTGGATGCACAACCCGAATTCGGAATTTCACAAAGATTCGAATTGCCATCCGCATTCATGGGAGCCAACTGGGCCAGGTACTTTGATCCGCGGAAAGTGATTTAGCAAACCTTTGGTGGATCCACAGCCATCAGTGGAAAAAGAATGAATATATGGGTCACGTACCGGATTTGAAAACGAAACGGATCCAAACTCCCTTTCACCCGCAGTGTGTTGGCTTCAGCGAATGGCCACCCCTGGACATACGGGGGCGGCTACAGTTGGGGCCCTGTGCAGCTGCAGGGTGTGCATCTTGCAACGCAAGATCACTGCGGCTGTTTTCGCAACAGACCTGGGACCTGAGTTCCGGTCTAAGGCAGCCGACCATTTGCAGACTGCCTATTTGCTGGTGCTAGAGGCTGCTCATCTTCAACGGGTGGAGACTGAGGCGGCCCAAGGTGGAAGAGCTGCGGGAGGAGTGAGTCCTCCCGGACCTACTGGTGGTGAGCGGTCTGCAGGCCCAACTCGACCACCCGGACCTTCTGGCGGAGAAGAGCCCAAAGGAGCCCACGAGGAGAGGCGAAGCCGACCTTTATCCATCGCTCGAAGAGAGGCCAGTGAGTGGAGGAGAGGCTGCAGCGCCCAGTCGGCCTTCAGAAGAAAGCAAAGAAGGTCAGGGCTCCTTAAAAAATACATTTAAGGCTTTGAAAATCTTGGATTTTTAGCGGTTGATCCCTCTACCAAACTCATAACTCAGGGTAGATCCATGGGACTAGGCGAGATGAGCGATGGCTAAGGTTTTTTTGTGGATACCGTCACGGTGAAATCGCATCGGATGGAAGCACGTGGGAGTTGGATCGCTTCTGGTCGTGTCCCGCGCTGGCCGTGTTGTGGTTCAAGTTGGTAGTTCGGAGTGTCAGTTGGGTATCGTTGCGTGCAGATGGCGGCAGCTGGCTGGATTGTGCTGGAGCACGGCGAATCCTGGGCCGACGCTTCCGAGGCACTGCTCCCCCGTGTTGGCTTGCAGTCTGTGCCCTGGCGATGCATTCTGGACGCGTATCTGCGGGGGATCCTGGAGCGCCGAGCGTCGCGACGCGTCATGCGTCAGCTCCAGCGCTTGTTGCGAGCAATGCCTGGGGCGATGACGCTTCCACCCCGTGAGTTGCAATGGTTGATTTGGTGCGTGCATTGGGGACGCGGTCGCCATGCTCGGGCTCGGCGATTCGTCGACGACCTGTTGCTACGGCGCGGAACGCGTGAGGGGCTTCGACGCAGGCAGTTCTGTTTACGAATAGAAGTAGTATGTTGCCGGGAGTCTGGGCGGAGTGCATCTACGATTTGCCGCTGTAAACAGAGTGGAAAAAGTCGAACTTTACAGTGTTGCGTTGTCGTCGTGGATGTTGCTTCCCGACACACCAACGCGAATCGGCGATCGCGCTTCGATAGGGACGACGATTTTATTTGTGCACAGCGTGCTCATCTGCTCGACATCGCGGTTCGACAGTTATGTTCCCGAATGCGTAGCGAAGGGTTCTCGTTTAACTTGGGGGTCTGAGGGTAGAGCTGTGTTTGCCCAACGTTGCTTTCGAGTTCGCAAGCTTTTGCAACCGTCCGTATGATGTTTCTAAGGCCCTGCCATTGGGGGAAGCTTTTGCAAGTGACTTTTCATGGATGTGTCACGTCACGTGTCAGTTTGCGCCGCTATTACATTGTGATTTGCATGAAAGTGACATGTCGCGCAAGGAACGTGATGCATTTCGCTGCACAGGCGCAGGGATTCGTGAAAGTGACACGTTTGTGTCGGATTCCATTGGGATTAGCGTTAGGAGAGTCGTGTTTTAAACGTGTGGTGTGGTGCAAATTTTGTTGAAGCTCACATGAGATGATATTGTCACTTTTCGTGGCAGGCGCAGTACTTTGTGCGGGTTTTGAGGCGTGGAAGTGCGATTCTCCTGGCAGGCGCAGGGAATCGTGAGGTTGCGATGTGTGACGGAGGTGACATTTCGTGGCAGGCGCAGTACTTTGTGCGCGTTAGACGTGTGGACGCGGAAAGATTCGTGGCAGGCGCAGGGAATCGTGAGGTTGTGAGTTGTGGTAGAGGTGAATGTCGCTGTCACATTGGGATTGGCGTGTGAGCGGGTATTGCTTGGAGGGGCTGGAATCGCGAAACTGCTTGGCAGGGCTGCGTGATGTGTGTGCTCCGATGGGTGTTTCCGCTTGACTTTTGGAGACTTTGACGTGTGAGTTTTTGAGGAAGTCTCGTACGAAACGCTCGTTTTGGAGACTTGACGTGTGACTTTTGGAGGAAGTCTCGTACGAAACGCTCGTTTTGGAGACTTGACGTGTGACTTTTGGAGGAAGTCTCGTACGAAATGCAGGAATATGTAAAGCCTTCCACACCGATCTGGGCTCCGTCGCTCTGGACTAAAGAGCTTGCATGGTCAGTGACCGGAATATCGGTCCGTGCACTCTCAGAACTCAGTAGTGCAACCGGGTCGAGCGGCACCTCAACATCTTGAATCGGGTTGATGTCCTTTCGGACCTTGCTGATGTTGACCTTTAGAATTTGGGTGCCTAAATCTATACCAACCATACTGCCGTCAGAACTGATAACCTTGCCCTTGATCCATTTACCGCTATGGGTTCCATCGGGTTTTACCTTGGATTTATCTTCTGTCCAATAGTAAATCTTATCACCGGGATAGAATGGACCATCACTCAATTGAAGTCTTGCTGAAATGTCTCGTCTCAAATCATCTGATTGTTTTGCTTCTAAGTAAGACTTCATGGCAAGTGTTCTGAGGGCATCAATATTCTTTTCAGGAGAAGGAAATGAAGCTGTAAGCTGTTCGGGTGTCATGTTCTCTGGATACAAGAGATCTGCAGGTCGTCTTCCAAATGCCATCTCCAGTGGAGATACTCCACCAAAAGGTACCAAAAGTTACCATAGAGTTCCTGGCAAGTGATGCTTGTCTGAGGAGTTGACGGTACGTGATCTCGTATTTGGATGGATCCTCAGTCACGGCCTTAAGCATCAGGGCGATCTGCTTTTTGTACATGCGAACAGCTGCTTCAGCCCTATTTGGCCATGGAGTACCAGGTCCTAAAGTAATTGGTCGGATGTTCTTCCTGTTGTAAAAGGCTTCAAGTTCAGTACCCATGAAACCTTGATCACCGACAAGATACTTAGGATTCAACTGATATGTTTCAAAGTACTCCAGAAGATGGCCAATGGTTTCTGCTTCAGTCTTGCCGTTACAAACGTAAGCAGTGGTCATAGAAGTTGCACCATCATAGATGATCAGGAAAAGAAGTTTAGACTTCTCATTGATAGCTAGTTCGCCATGATCAATGAAAGTGAGTTCACCGAACGTTTCGCTTCTCATACCTGAAATTCTTGACCTTGAAGGTGCAACTTTTGACTTCTGACATGTGTCACACTGCTTGACGACTTTTTCATACTCTTCATAGATCTTAGCAGGAATCTTCAAGGCTGATGTGCGTTTCTTGAACTGCTCGGTTGACATGTGATAGTGTTTCAGTGCAGTTTCAAGAGTTCAGTTGGATGAGACAGCTTTTCATGAATTCTCTGCAAAGCTAACGGCAATGTCACTGAAACCTTTGGTGCCTTCTTCTCTCTATGCACTGTTGATAGTATTGGTTTCACGTCTTCCTTTGTTTCTTCCTGAGGATCTGGCTTCACCGGCATATCTGGTGCTGCTGGTGGTACGTCTGGCTTCTGTGCTCCTGAGCTCGAACTTGGAATCTTCGAATGCTCAAATGGCGTACCAAAATCAGGTGACTTTTCTGTCTTCCGGTATGTCGGAGGTGTCACCGTCTTATCCGGTGGAGGCATCGAAATAAGCTTCGATGGCGGATCGACCTTGGCATCTCCACTTGCGACTTTCTTCTCTGGCTTTTTAGCCGGAATGTCGGCTGCCGACTTGTCTTCCTTCACTTCGGATGTCTCTGCCTTCTTGCATCCATCTTTATATATGTGCTTACGGTGCTTACCATTACAGGAAGGACATGATGCATACGAATCATACGAAGGATTGATTGCTGTGAAGCTGTGGTTCGGCTTTCGGACTGAGCTGGCAAACATCATGGTGTCTAAGACATTATGGTTCGAAGTGCTCACTGGCAGCGAAAATCACTTCAGGCCGAACAAAGGACAAGTCAAATAGTCGCCAACTGGAGTATGCTCTATGGACATGCGAAGGTTCCTGAGCTGCTCAATGCTGAAAAGGATTGGAACATCGCCTTGATCCAAGATATCTATCGCTGTTGTGATCCACCCTGTGGGTGACTGGTCGTTCTGGAAGTATATTACCAGCTTCTCTCGGACGTTGGACTGTTCACCGTTAGCAAATGAAAATCGACTTGACGAAGGCTCAAAAGAGAAATCAATCTTGGATGCATTGTGGTGTCTCTTACATGCCTTCACTAGACGCATGATGGCGGTCCTTGAACCCATTGCTCTTGTACAGCCGCTGTCAATGATCACGTAGGTAGGGCTGTACCTCAAGTCGATGTACTCTGAAAGCAAAGCATGGTGAAGTCCATCATCAAAGTTGACAAATGAAGAACAGAAGCGTGGGTCAATCACTTCAGAACAACCGGAATGT